CGTCCCCCCCCCCGAACTGTTTCTGGCCTTTGGCATTGGGCAGTCTAGGATCATCTGGGAATCTGATGTAACGTTCCTGTCTGTGTAGAGACCAAGGGCATCTGTGATGTCCTTAACTCCTGCTCTCTTGCTGTGGTGTCTTACAGTTATGACTGATTTCTGAGTGTAGAGAAAGAGAGAAAAAGAGTTAGAGGGAGGTTTCATATCGGGGTGGTGGTGAGGAGCGGGGAGAATGACACTTGTCTGGAGTAAACCTCACTGCAAAAGTCTGCATACCTTCTCTTACATGTTTTGGCTGCCTATGATTGCAGCAGACTGGACTTAATCACGTGGTTGCCTTTATGCTGAAAGGGCCCCAGCGGCGAGGGCTGGGGAGGAGGAAGGTTTATTGCGTACTAGGAGACTGGAGATAGAAGGACGATGAGAAGCAAGTGCTCCTTGGAGGGCAGAGTAACTGTGGGTGTAGAGCTTGTCATCTGTCTGTATGGAGGTAGGAGGAGTACAGCAAGCCCTGTCTTGTGATGCTGGGAGAATGAGTGCTCCGAGCTCAGGGCTAGTTTTGGCTGTTACAGCTAATCTCTTTTATTATTTCTACTTACAGTGCATTAAAAGCTGTTCAACTCCTCTTTCATCATGCAAACACACCATTAGCACCCATCATCTTCCTCTGCGTTTTTGAATGCGTTGTCATGACTTCCATTCGGGTACCTATTATAAGTAGCTAATGGATCCAAGTGTTCAGCTTGCATCAGAAGACGGATTTTCAGCATGTTCTAAATTGATCTTTAATGGCTTGGTCTGACTTACAGTCCAAATAAAAAGCAAGAGAGAGCAAAGGGGGGAGAGGTGTCAAGGGAGCAAGTAGGGGTAAATAGGAGCATTGCACTTTCTCTCACTTGAAATGTATCACCTCCTTGTTTACTTTGCAGACTCTTTTAAGATCCAGTACATGCAGTTCATGGCTTACATGAAAACACCTCAGTATAAAGCAAGTCTGCAACAGTTACTGGAGCAGGAAAAGGTAGGTGTCCTTTTTAACATTTCTAAACAAAGTTGCCAGACTACCAGATACTTCAGATGCGAGGGAAAAATGCTGGAGATCGAAATTGTGTACAGTTAACAGCAGTGCTGCGCCAGGCCGATTACAAAGACTCTACCAGAGTCATGCTTAGGCTGAATGACTGTACCTGTGGATCTTATTGCTAACTCGGGCAGTCTTTCTGTGCTTAAATTTCCCATCTGCAAACTGGGAGAGATGTACCTCCCCTCTTCCCTCTGGTGCCCCTCCACCTAAGAAGACTCGCTTCAGTATTTCTGTTTTTTCCTCTATTTTGACACGAAGCTGTGTACACCTATGTGGGAAGCTGGTGTCTTGAACCCTGTCCTTTTCTCCCATTTGGGATTGGCAGCTGCTTTTCTTCTCTAAATATCTCATGGGTCACAGGAGCAAGAGGTGGTGGTCAACCTCTTCAGCAGTGTGCACTGCCTGAATGCGTTCCTGCCCTCCACTTAGAGGGGCTTCCCTGCATGGATTCATCCTGCAAGCTTATGGATGCATCCTGCAAGTCAAACTGGTCGTAGATAATTTAATTGTGCTTAATCTAGCTATAGGTTGTAGCAACTTTGAATGAGGATTATCTTGAAAAACACACAGATACTAATTCCTTGGAGCTGAATTTTCTGGTTTTTGACATCCTATTCCTTTCCCACTGTAGGAAAGCCTAAATTAATTGCGTACTCTAGCATCAGGATGCCTCATTAAACTTGAAACAAATTGAAGTATGAGATTAAAAAAACCCCAAACTGTCATCACTGACTTAAGAGACTTAATGAAGCATCCTTAGTATTGATAATCTTAATGTGTTAAGATTACACTGGTGGGCAAAGTGTAAATTTACCAAGTCGTGGGTGGAAATCCATGAAAAGGCAAAGAAAACCCTGCAGCTGTGAAGTGTGGCATTTTTCTCTGCTATGGAGCCGTCTCCCCAGCAGAGGGAGGAGATTTACTGGCTGAACACCTCTTCTTCTTGTATTGCTTTACCTCAATTAATGAATAATTTAATTGCTTTATAAATTAGTCCTGAGGAGAGAGACTGTGCTTGCTACTTCAATGGAGGGAGCTTTCCCCATAGAGCTCAACAATAATCTTTAACTTCTGGCCAATTCCAGCTTTTGGTAGCCCCCGTGGAAGCTTTCCTTTGCCCTGTGGCCTTTGTGAAAGTGTCAGCATAAAGCTGTAGCGTTGTTTCATGGGGTTTTCCATAGTGGGAACCCTTTTTCCAGATGAGAGAGGCTAATTTGTGCCACCCCATTTGTTACTGAGAATTGGTTGATGCTGATGCGGTGTTCATGCAAACCTTTTTTCTATGGTTGTTTCCATTTGTTTTCACAGTCAAACAGCACTTTGAATTTTCAACTTTTTCCTTAAGCAGCATATTTTTCTGCTTGTTCTGTACTTGTCAGGAAAGTCAGCATAAAGTTAATTTATCTCCTTGCACAGAAAATAGCATGAGAAATGATAGCGTGCAAGTATTGTGCTGTACACTGAAAGTATAAATTGAGAGTGTGGCAAAGTAATCCCTCCGTGTTGGTGTCCAACAGCTGTTTCATACTTTAAGACATTAAAATGAGGAATTCAGTATGAAAATATTTTTTTAATGGAGTGTTACACTGACAGCATGGCAAGTTAAGCTTCACAAAAGCAGAAGCAGAACTTTGCTGGATGAGGTGCTGTTGTATATTCTGTTTAATGAATCCCTTTTACATGAAGGTTTTTCAAGTACAAGAAAAACATTTCTGTAATACGATTTTAAAATAAACAAGATGCTGTGAGCTGCTAGTTCACCAGATTACCCTTAGATGGAGCTGTCAGCTCCACTGCTTGTAAAGGCTGAATGAAATGACTGATGTTGAAAGCATAAATGATTTTTTCGGCATCACTTGTGGCAGTCCATTTAGCGTTGCAGTGACTCAACTGTTTTCCCAAGTCTTTGGCGTGAGAGGCAACACGAGCTGTATGCCAGGTCCTGTGTTTTCTCACACATGTGGAACTCGCCAGCGCTGCTGCTTCGCTTCACAACATGGATTGCTTGGAAGATCGAGGGGCTTTTCGCCCCGTCCTCCGCTTTTTCTGGAGCGATGTCTCAGTTTCTGCACAATTCCGGTTTGGCCTCAGCAGCAAAAGTTGGAGAAAAGTGTAATCTCCAGAGCCTGCTCTTCTTGCTGCGCTCGTCTTTCAATTGGGAACCGAATAAATGAGACTCTTTAGCCAGTCCTGTCCTTGCCCTTTGCTGCTCACACAGTGCACGACCGTGAAATGAGTAAGCAAGTGTCTGGTTAAGGAATGTTATGGGCAGGAAATGTTCTGCGAGTGGAAGGGTCAGGTGGCCCACTGAAGTAATTTTGGCATTAGAAATACAAGTGGTTTGGCTTATTTATGACTTTCCTCCTACCTCTCCCCCAGTGTATTTTCATTTACTGCGTGTCTTCCATGAATACTGTGTAGGAAAACTCTGAATTGGGACTCTGGAGATTTAAATTCTGTTCCCAGTTTAGTAACAGATTTCATACAGATAATCTTTTCCAGTTCCATTTCTGCTCTGTAGGATGTGATTATTACTATTTCTTTACAATGCACTAGGAGGATAAAAATGAATTTTTAAGACTATCCTGATTATATTTACCCTATAGCAGAAAAAACTACTTAAAAGCTCTTTTCAGCTTGCTTAACTTCACCAGGTGTTGAACACTAACAAACACAGGCTCGCAGAAGTCTGAGACAGAGCTGGAGTAGTTCATACATCTCCCCTCTGAGCTCAGATCCCCTCCCAACTTCCTATACAAACTAGGTGTAAACATCTTACTAAGGTGGACCATGCTGCAGTTGGTGCTAAAAGTGTATTTTCTCTCTTCCCTCTTCCAGGAAAAGAATGCTCAGCTACTGGGGACAGCACAGCAGTTATTCACCCACTGCCAGGCACAGAAAGAGGAAATCAAACGTCTTTTTCAGCAGAAACTTGATGAGGTAGCCCCGATCTGGTGGAAGTGGATGCTTGTTAGTCATCTGCACGCAAACAGTTTTGATAAAAATAAGTAAGACCAGAGTAGTCTCAGGTCTTACTTATTTTTATCAAAAAAGCCTCTGTTTTGCAGCAGATCATGCTAAATAATGTGAAATCTGTATCACTCTTCGGTTATGTTTTATCTCCGTTGTTGAAATTGTTGTGCGCCGCTCTGTATCGAAGGGAAGGGGGTGACAGACCACAGCCACCATGGTATTTTAGTAGAGGATGCATCCCCTGCTGGCTGAACCAACTCTGTGTTGCCAATGCAAGTTCAGAAGCACCGAAGGAAATGCGGTGGCTCTCTACAAAAATAGTGTTCTTCTGACTGGCAAGAAACTAAATGCCAATTTTAAAGTTGAATTGCTGGAACAGCAGCTCCAAGCGAGGTACTTTTGTCCTTCCTCGTTATCCCCTAGCAATGACAAAGTGCCTTGGAGAATGCTGAGGGCCTTCCTGTGAGCCGCATAAGTTCTGCGGATCTCCTCAGTGTCACTTGTGAATGTGACAGTCGTCTGGAATTAGGGTGTCAAGACCTTATTGAATGATCTCTTTCCTTCTCACCCTTCATCTTGTAGTTGGGAGTTAAAGCTCTGACCTACAATGACCTGATTCAGGCTCAGAAGGAAATCTCTGCTCACAATCAGCAACTGAAAGAACAGACGAAACAGCTGGAGAAGGATAACAGCGAACTCAGGAACCAGAGCTTACAGCTGGTGTGTACAATGCTTGTGTCTGAGTAGCAGGGTGATGCTCCCTTTGTGTAGGGAGAACAGGTCATGAGCTGAGGGCTGGCCTTGACTTCAGGGTATCGTAATGAACAAAAAATCGTCCAGCCGCTATAGCTCCTCTGTAACAAGAATGATGGGGGAAACGCTGAGGTGACAGTTGGCTCTGGCCTCAGCTGTGTCGCGTAAACAGCTGTGCACCCGTATATGCACTTGCCGCTGAATCTGGATCTTGCTGGCCAAGACGTTTGTACAGTGCTTGCTTTGTGGTAGCCATAACTCTTGTGTTGTTCATCTTGGTAACTCAAACTGTTAAGGTAGGTGAGGGGGAAATCTGGACGTGGAAGTGGTTAGGGAGGCTGGGTGATAACACTGGTTTTAGAAAAAACACGGCCACCTTCTGCCACATTGTGTTGGTGACCACAGGGCCATTTTGGTGGCATTTGGCTTAAGCTGAGAGGAGTTTTCAACGGGCTAAGCAGCTTCTTGCACATATCCAGCTGAAAGGTGCATGGCTTTCAGCTTGTGCCTTGGGTGAAGTGGTGAAAGTTGTCTTTTGATCTGTTTATCCTGTGTCTTTGCAGCTTAAGGCACGGTGTGAAGAACTGAAGCTGGATTGGTCAACGTTGTCACTGGAGAACTTGCTGAAAGAGAAGCAGGCGTTGAAGAATCAGATTTCTGAGAAACAAAAGCACTGTTTGGAACTGCAGGTAGAGAGCAAGAAACAAACTTGGGGTAGCTCTTGGGCAATGGACCGGTTAAGGGTATTTGACTAAATACGATGTTAAGGGATAAGCTAGGTGGCTGGGTTTTTCCCCCCACCTTTCTCCCCCTACACTCCCCTGGAGACTAATCTTTTTATTAGAGAGTTTTAGTAAACTTGAAGAATAAGGATGTGGATAACTTTTAAAGGAAGTAGATGCTATGACCTGATTCCTTGGTAATGCTGTGGAAGAAGGAATCATGGTTTGTCATGAAATAGAATTAAAAAGCATGACCTGGTGAAAAGAAAGGTCCTGCTTATTTGCATAATGTGTGGCTTCATGATAATGTCTTCTGTGTGCTCTGACTTCTTGATTCAGGAATCAATTCCCACAGAATGTCACTGACCTTAGTGAAAAGAAATGAAACTCCTGTGACTGAAGAATTTCTCTTTCCCACCAGCCCTTTGCTGGATGACTTGACACGGAGTGTCTGTTTCCTTCAATGACTGGCAGTATCGAGTTACTCCATGCTCTATACAAGTTGGAGATATTTTGTGTTTGCTTTCAAGACCTGAAAGGTGCTTTCTTAGAGTCTCTGAGCCATTTCCCTTACCTGCGCCTTTTGGTCTCAAGCTCAGAACAGCACGTTGAAATCTGTTTCTCAAATTGTGGGTCAATTGTTTTGCATTGTTCCCAGAAATGGGGCCACTTTTTTCTGAGAGGCATGTCAAGGCAGAACGCTGTAATGTGAGAGAATTCTTAAGTATGGTCTTTAATCATTGTCCCCCTCTTCATTTCAAGATCAGCATTGTGGAACTTGAGAAAAGTCAAAGACAGCAGGAGCTCATGCAGCTGAAATCGTACACGCCGTCTGATGAGTCACTGTCAGTACAGCTACGCAATAAAAACCATTTGAGCCGTGATCCTGAGGCCGATCACAGCAGGTTCCACCTGGAGCTTGAATGCTCTAAGTTTCCTATGCCCCACATCAACGGCATGAGCCCTGAACTGTCCATGAACGGCCATGCTACACCCTATGAAATTCATAACACTTTTAGCAGGCCCTCTTCCAAGCAGAACACCCCTCAGTACACCACCTCTCACCTGGACCAAGAAATAGTTCCGTGTACCCCAAACCACAGCAGCAGACAGAAGGCAGACAAGATGACAAGCTTGTCCTTACCTGATTATACCAGGTTTTCCCCAGCTAAAATAGCACTGAGGAGACACTTGAATCAAGACCATGCAGTCAATGGAAAAGCAACAACTAATGAGATACAGAGGTGAGAGTGATCATTTCCTGGGATGGGAAAGGAGGGGTAGTCTATTGCTAGTTTTTAATAATGGTCGTTTATTTGGATTGTGGAAAAATATTTTTAAAAGTGGAGTTTTATACACTTGTAAAAGTTTTTTGTCAGGAAAAGCAACAGTGACAGCTGATTGGGTAAATAAGGTGGTACAGTGCCTTGAGTTTGTTACAAGAATTCCTTGCAAAAGAGAAGTCGTTAGCTTTTGTATTCTGACAATCGTACATTTCTGTTCCAGAGCTGACCACGTCAAAGAGAATGGCCTTACATATCCAAGCCCTGGTATTTCAAATGGCATAAAGCTGAGTCCTCAGGAAACTCGGCCCTCTTCCCCAGCGGCCTTACCAATTGCAGGCGAGAAGGTAAGAGATCCGCTGGTGCTCAAGCGCACAGATATTACACCTGGTAGAACAAAGAAAAAGTTGGCCGAACGAGGGAATGCAAGCATGCTCCTTTCTGTGGTCAGCTTGGCATGGAAAACAACACAAAATACAGTAGGTGTGATACAATAAAAAGGAGCTGGCTGGAGAAGGAGAATACTGTGCTCATGAAAGATGTGCTTCCCTCCGAGTTATTCGTTTGCATATGAACTGTGCCAGTAATGCAGTAGGACTTCGTTTTGATCTGGTGCGTGTCTGCTTGAACTTGAAAAGTAGACTCTTTCACGGTTAAAAAAATAAAAATAACAAAAAATTATCCACGTAATTGGTCCAGCCAGGAATCATATTGGTCTCATTTCAGAGAAAGCAGGTGCCCTCCAATAGGGGGTTATCATGGAAATATTTCTGGCTACTACATCTTCTGTGTACAGAGGGCCTCAAGATATGAGTTCTGTCAGATGAGTGCTTTTCACAGAGCTCTAACAAAGATACTAGGAAATGAGCTTGCCTAAGGCATCCTTTTCCTTATGCTTGGGGCCAGCAGTAGCTTTAATTTACATATTTCTGTGCAGTGGGATATTGCTGCCCCAGTAGACTGGTGTTGGTAGCAAAGCTGCTCCATGCATGTCCTGTCTTTGCTATGTAGTCATCACTCTTGATCATGTAATTCTTTAAGGAAAAAAAGGGGGGGGGGGGGAAAGGAAAAAGGGGGGGGGGGGGGGGGGGGGGGG